ATGCACCAAGAAGTCAAATACGATGAGCACCAGGAGGCTAGAAACTGGCATTTGACTAGCACCGGTGTTGGTCACCATTACAGACCTGGGTATTTCTTTCCGGATTCCGAGTTTAAGGTTTGTGTACACTATTTTAATTAAACAAATGTGAGGTAACTGACTTATTTTCTCCTTCCGTATTGCTACCCGAAGCCTTGAAATTTGAAACTTCATCGCATCGTACTTGTAGTAGAAGTACCAAGTTGTGTGATAGTTAGTTGTATTAATAGTATAATAGTATTATAATTGGGGACTTCAGAGTAACAGGGGCAAAATGGCTTGGGTGGATTACTTTCCCGAACTTTGAATCATGACAATATCAAGAAAACAGAAAAGACAAGACAATTATATAAATTATCAGCAAACAAATGCAAATATAATAAGCCTTACCTGTGCTTGACTACATGTGAGAGTCGGTACTGTGGCTAAGTCGATGTGAACGCTTCGTAATGCAGGGTTCGATCCCAGCTGCGGGCCATGCGCCTTGCGTTGGTTTCGACAGTGGTAACAAGAAAGCCCACCGTCCAGTAAGCAATGGCACACTACTGGACGGACGTAAATTTGCCTAGAAAAACCACACAACAGCCAGGGGCTGTTGGGGTTGGTTCTGCAACGTCCTGTAAAGGATACGCAACTAGCCTAACCCCATGTGGGATGTAATTTTTTGTTTTTTGAAGCCCCACCCTGGCTTTTGCTGGAGCCCTGAATATAGCCGGGCCATATAAATATATGGCCTCGCGGCTGAAAGGGGTTTCTGGGACCTCTCCACGGGTGATCCTCATCCACATGGTGGCACTTTGTGTCACCGGGTGTAAATCATTTGTGTGATGCCCTGCTGGGGTACAACTACCTACCTACCTACAACTAGGGATGCTAGTGAAGTTTTACATATTGGGGATTTTACTTATCAAACAATCACAACTAGATAGAGATTAAAATAACAAATTCAGTTATACTTCACTGGAGCTTTCAAGTCTATTCTAAGCTGAGATATTTACATTTTAGTGGTGGATACCACCATAGGCAAATTACAGTGTAAGCTGACAAAAGATGGATGCTGAGTTGTGTCCCAGTAAAGTGAAGGGTGGAAATGATTACATTTTTTGCATTTTATGGCAATAACTATTTTGCTGATTAACAAACAGAAACATGAGAGAGGGGAATGGATATCTAAAGAATCTTGGTCAAAGAAAGAAGAAAGAAAAATGCAAAATAGCAGATAAACCTTTGCAAAAAATGTTGAATTAAGAATCGACATCACAGCACTCAGGACACTCCCATAAGTGCTCAGTCCCCATCTTTAGCAGCAGGCGAAGAGTTCCAATTCCGATGGTACCTGTAACCGTCTGATTGTAAATCCATCTCATCCTTCCCCTGAGTGCTGAGCATTGGCCACATCCCCTGGTAACTCCTCGCAGTGCATTCTCCTTAGATCATAATGATCTATCTGTTCCTCCGCACTGTTCACTGATTCCCAAAGGGCCCTCACAACATCTGGCTTATCATACATCAGTTCACAACCAATCACGGCATGTGTGTACAGCTGATTCTCAAGCCAGCATTAGGCAGCAGTGACTGCCTCCACCTCCATTCTCAAACTAGACATTGTGATATCATATGCAAGGCTTTGCTGCACTAAGCGACATCCGTTCACCTTTGCTATGAACACCCATGCACTTAATCTGCCCCTCAACACAGAGCCATCTGTATAGATAATCACACCACTTGGGCAGGAATTGTCATGAATCATTTGTTGAACTTCTGATTCTGCAGCACCAGCTGGCCAGTCTCTGCACTCACAACCTAAAGTGATTAGAACACTACTCAAGTCTGAAACGTGTTCGGACACCCTGACCCAATCCTCTCCTCTGTGAAATTTATTAGGCCTGCACACATGTCAAATTATGTCTTCAACTTGCGCCATCCAAGACTTTCCTCTTTTCTGCAAAAGAATAAATGATTCATCGTTTGTGCGCCAACTCCTAATAATTGTTTCTATATGATTTTTCACTTAAAGAGTATGGAAAAAAATTTCTCATTGAGGGTCGATGCTCCCCTATTTTTATGGTCACAATGAGTTTGTGAACGCATGACCAGAAGTTGCAATCTCATGGCCATCTAGCATATAGAGATCCACAGCATGTATGCATATTTATGTATACATGAGTGTTTAGATAAATAAGTGTTTGTAGGTGTGCATGTATATGCTTGTGTGTTTGAAGTTGTGGGTTAATGATTACATCTCAGTATACAGAGTATACATGTGTACTTTGTTAACATCAGCTTCATATGTTATTATTTGTCAATATTCCACATTTGTCAGTATGGAATTACACTTATTTTAATTAGTCAGTCCTACAGATTTTTTGACTGCTCTTTCCTCAGACCTTGCTGAGAGATCCTCTTCCCCCAAAATTGGCAGCAGAAGATGAAGTGACCAAGGATAAACCCTTCTTGACAACCAAGGAATACTTCCATGATAGGAAGTTCCCAGGCCTTTTGTATAGTAACTCACTGCACAAGAAAGCTCCAGGACACTGGAATGTTGATTATATAAAGGATCTTGCTGAAAAGGTATTCTGTGAAAATCAAAGAAATGTCTTTTTATTCTGTCCTTTATTTCCAAAATAGAACGTAAACCCTCAAGGTGTGCCACCCCTACGACTCACAGTCATATTCTAGATGCCAGTTTAACAGTGAAATAAAATACTGCAGAATTATTGCTTGCATTTACCACCTTTGCTGTGTATGATCAACATTTGGTGCAGGAGAGGCTAGCATATGATACGACAACATCCAGCTTAAGAATGGAGGTGGAGGCGGTCACTGCAGCTTTCCGCTGGCTAGAGAACACGACACACACACACATCGTGATTGTAACTGACTAAGAAAGCATGCTGAGGAAGATCAGGACAGGCATGCTTCATGCAGAGTGGCATGCCTCGCTGCGGAGGACACGGGTGAGGAGTATTGTCTGGATTTTTTTTACCAGGGCATGCCGGTGTGTTGGGAAATGAACAGGCGGACAGACTGGCTGGCTCTGCACAGCTTGGTAGAATACTGATGCACGATAAGGCAGACGTGGTTAGTGCCTTGTGGGAGAGCTTGTACAGTTCAGAGGAGCAGATTGATCACCACAGTGTGGTGTGATTGATGCAGTTGGGAGTGACGAGAGATTCTGGCAGATGCTTGAAGCCAAGAGGGAAGGCAAGATGGACGTTTAATCAGAATGCTACTGGCACCGTTAGTATCGGAACTCTTTGCTGGCTGCTGAAGATGGGGACGGAGCGCTTGTTGGAATGCTTCGAGTGCTGTGATGTCGGTTCTTGAATCAAATCAAATCTGTGTATGCAGGGGGGGGGGGGGGGGGGGGGGGCGGCGGCTGCGGGGGTCTTTAATCTTCTGGGAAGTTTTCATTAGGGAACTCAGAACAGCCACAAGTGCTACCCTGTTTATCCTTGGAGGTACCTGTGAGGGTAAGGATATGTAATTTCTTTCTTTTGAAAAATATTTTCACGCTGATTTTTCAATCTAAGCCAGATCTGGGCAATAAAAGAATAAAGAACAATTACAACTGAAATGAAATTCCTGAAAATGCTGTTAATTTAACCAGAAATGCTGAGATCAGAAATGACTAAATCCTAAGGAATTTTGTGGTAGCAACAGCTGTGGATTTTATTAGAAAACAACAAGTGGAATGGTTTGGCTATATAATGCGGATGCCAACAAACAGTATACCACATCAAGCAGACTAGACAGGAGGGGAAGGGAATCCCTATTTACGAAGCACCCAAATGGGCACTTTGCTGTAAATTATACTTCACCTTGACACCGCAAGGTATAAGAGGATCAAGATAAGATGAGATGAGATGAAATTGATTTTGACACTCTAGTATATCAAATAGCAAATCTCCACACCTCATTCTGTGATCAAGCAGAGGTAGTCTGCAATTCTGTGTTTCAAAATATTTTGTTTCCTGGTTGATAATAGAAACTAGTTCATACCATTTTTGGCCAATATACATTCACCCAATGAGGACAGCAGCTTACCTTGTGTGGTGATATGGTGCCCTAATACATTACAGAGGTGATCTCAGAGTGGTGAATTTCTGTTGTGAAGAACTGATTACTGATTTAGGAATCAACATTATAGCACACTGGGCATACCCTGTGATACTGTGTCTCCTGCAGCAAATGTCTTAAGGTGTCGTAACTGTTCCCGTAGCACGTAGCACACTGATTATACACATTATACTATACTTATGCAGCGTCAGTGACAGTCTAGACTTGACCCATGTCAGCCCAAGCATATACTTCATTGTTGTAATTGGGGTATCTCCTGTGCAACCCAAGACAATTCTCATTCCTTCATTTTGAATCATTTCAAGCTTTGTTCACAGTGAAGTAGATAGGGTTAATATTCCTAGGCCATAATCGATCACAGAAAGGACCAAATGGTTGAACAATAAGATCAATAATCTGTGTTCCATGTGTGTTGCCACAATCGTCTTCAGTGCCACCAGACCACACTTGTATTTGATCACAGTTTGCTCCACGGGATATTTGTAGGACTGACTGCAATCAAACGTCAAATCTAAGTATTTCAGCTTATTTCTTTTTTTTCAACATTATTACCCTTCATGGATATGTTGGGCAAGTCTTCCTTTACAATGCTGTTATTCAAAGAGCACTCCCTGTGCGGGTTCCAGAGCCCTATTATAGAGGAAACAAGAATAGATACACTACCTACCCAAAAGCATGTCGTAAGAGTTGACTTCGAAGTCAGAGTGCATCTGCCTGAGAGGCAAGGGACCAACAGTCTGCATACAGATAAGTCAGATTTGAAAAATGGATGCACATGCAACACTCAGGTTCTGGAACAGGACTACAGTCCAAAAGTGGACGAACAACCAGAACTTTCCAACGGAGTTTACAGCTAAAGAAGAAGAAGAATTCAAAGAGCACCACAAAACACTGGCCTTCTCTGGTGTTTACTCTTGACCCTGTCTGTGTGAAGAACAATTTGCTTATCCCTGGCAATTTTTCTTACTTGAACTCCTATCTGGATAAGAAGAATTTCTGATAAAAAGAACTGTTTCTTCCCCTGGTGAAGTCTTCTTATCAGGTCTGCACTGTACAAGAAAAACCCATTTTGTTTTCTCCATCTTTAAAAAAAAAAAAACCATTAATCTCCTTAATAGAATATGAAATGCTTTCCTAGGACATTACCTGATGCCCATTTTACGCTGGGTCGATCTTGCCCCCAGGCGCATTTCTGAAAGAAAAAAAAAACATCTCAGTGTAGATTTTATATTTTAACCAATGACCTTGGAGCCCATAAAAAAGTAACAACACAAAACAAACTAGGAAGCTCCATGGGGTTACAAATAAAGGACTCATTTGGTTCTATTTAAATGAATCTTTTCATTTTTACCATCAAGCTAACTAGTTTTAGTTTGTATTGCATTAATTAACTTCGGTTTGCAAGTGGCTTGCCATTAAGTCTCAGCCCTTTATATAACTATTCTCTAACTTTCATAGGCAAGAAATTAATGTTGTGAAGACAGTGTGACTTTTATGTTTGCCTGTAAATGTTCTCAGCTAGGTCAACGTGGAGGCCGCCGGCCACTGACCATGGGCAACCAGCAGAGCGAGATGAAAGACCAGTATCAAGCTAAACCACCAGAAGTCAGGGAGAAATACAACTTTGAGGATGTATACAGTCCACTCAATTTCACACTTCAGGAGCACTTTAAGGCAAGATAAATAAGCTGTAAAAAAAACCCTGAAATTATAGGATTATTAAAACGGGAATTAGAAGATGTGGTATATACATGTAATGTTACTAAACCCCCCCCCCCCCGAAACTATTAAGCAGACACTTCTTTTTGGGTCTAATTCCCCATAAATGTCACTTTTGCAAATTGTCTGCACTTACCTGTTTACGACATGCCCGGCTTATGCTATTGGCTGAGTTCACGTCTGTGCAAACATTTATGAGGTCAGCATATGAATATATTAGCTAAAAATTGCTATTAGGGGTGTTTTCCTGTGAACCAAATAACTTGTAAAGCCAAGCTTACAAAAATTTTGTTTCTGTAAGCCTCACTGATAGAGGTCATGCAGACACAGCATCAGTCACCTGCTGCATATTGGTTGTCTTTTTTTTAGGGCCCTTGGGAATATATTGAAATGAATGCTTCACTCTATGCATGTTTATTGAAAACAACCATTTTATATTAGAAGTTTTACTTTTGTTTTAAATGTAAAGAAATACATTTAAAAAATGTATTAGCTACCTACAATGTGTGTGTTGTCCATCAAGATGATGATGACCACTCTTTTTCATCAAGTATGAGTACGAAGACGACTGATGAGGCCGATGCGGGCCATAAAAGTTCTTGGACAGTGAGGACAGGGAATGAGCGTTGTGCCAGGGAGGAGATCTCCTGCAGTCGCCTTTCTGTCCATCCTTTTCTTAATAAGTTTTGCTGTGCTGTTTGCTTCACATGTAGCCTCGCCCTTGTGGCATTCATTTCGGTCTTGAGAGGCAGCCTCCCAACTGGTGTCCTTCATCCCAAATGCTTTGAGTGAAGACTTTAAGGTGTCCATAAAGGGTTTCTTTTGCCCGCCTTGGGAACGTTTCCCATTTTGCAGCTCACCTACTTACAGTTATTGTTACTGGACAGCAGGGTTAAATTATACATATTTCTTACATTTCTGTCTGTCTGTCTGTATGTGTGTATGTCTTTATATGTGTGTGTGTACAATATTTGTTATATATATATATCGTAAATGTTGTATGCAGTAGACATCTGCTTCTGTCTTTAATTTCTTTGTACGTGATAATTTCACAACCAGTCCATATCAGTCCCTTTTTAGACTTACTCAAGACTGGTTGGTTTTTGCAGCTAAAGCTTTCTTGGTGATGTGGAGCCAGTCCTGAACCAACCTTGCTCAGTTGCCTCTTTTGACATGTATAGTAGGTTACAGTCTTACGTCCCTGTTGGAGCCTGATAACATGTGAGTGATGCACCGAAATAGCCGCCCGTGGGCAAAATCTAACATGCAGAGGCCTAGCTAGTGGCCCACCGATTTTTGATGGTTGTATTGTAATAACGATCATTCTGCGCTGGGGTTCTTGGACTCTAAAGATCCTCATGTTCAACATTTTGGCTTCTGAGTAAACTTAGTTGTATAGCCCTGCAGTAGACTGTTACATCTAAAATATTTTACATAGCAGTTTGTCACAGGCCTTTCACAACAGACCATTACATTTGTCACAGACCTCACACAACAGACTGTTAAACTTGTCAGACCGTACACAACAAACTGTTACACATTGTCAGAGACCTTACATAACAGACTGTTACACTTGTCACAGACCTTACATAACAGACTGTTACACTTGTCTCAGACCGTACACAACAAACTGTTACACATTGTCAGAGACCTTACACAACAGACTGTTACACTTGTCACAGACCTTACATAACAGACTGTTACACTTGTCACAGACCTTACATAACAGACTGTTACACTTGTCACAGACCTTACACAACAGACTGTTAGTACTTGTCACAAACCTTACACAACAGACTGTTACACTTGTCACAGACTTTATATAACAGACTGTTGTGCTTCGTTATTTGTTGATTTAAACTTTGAAGTAATTGTTCTGATGTGATACAAAGAAATGTGGCAGACAATCAATCATGCAGTATAATGCTTGTGTCCTTAGTATTCAAATTAAATGAATTGTTCACAGGCGGAAGCACCCAGCATCCAGAATCCCAAAATTAGGCAGAGACCTTTCCTTTTAAAGAACAAAGGTGTTCTCAACAGGCTGGACCCTTACTTAAGTGTAACCCACAGAGATTACCCCCTATTTTCTCCATCGGAACTAAGTGCTTATGCCAAGAAAGATGTCCCAGCCAACATGGGGCAGGGGCTTCAGTGCAAGTGAGTGGAACTTACGTCCTTACAACTCTTCTTATAGGAACATTTTTGGAAACACAGTTGACAGAGTGCAGACCTGATAAGGAGAACTCACTAGGGACCCAAGAAATGGTTCTTGTTGTCAGAGGTTCCTCTTATCCAGATAAGAGTTAAAGCAAGTAAAATTGCAGGGGATAAACAAATTATTCCTCATATCAGAAATTCGCCACATCCAGTGATCTGCACTGTACAGTATTTATTTCATATAATTAACACTAGTTATTATGTATAGTCAACACAGCATTAATTATATACTGTCATTACTGCATTGATTCATTCATTCATTCAGTAGCATGTCCCTCGCGGAACCTCGCTGCCATAACAACCCTCCGGAAAACCTTCCTATCATGAGCAAGATGTCCTGCGTCTGATACACCCATCTGGAGATCATCTGCCACATCCTGCACCCATCTTCTCCTTGGCCTTCCTCTTCCTCTCTTCCCAGGCATATACCCCTCCATTATTGTTCTCTCTAGACCTCCATGACGTTTCAAGTGACCAAAATATTTCAATTTTCTTTGTTTTATTGTCTTTACTAGCCAACCCTCTTCAATATTCAGCTCTTGAAGTATGGATGCATTTGTTCTTTTCTTTACCCAAGATATTCTTAGAACCTGTCTGTAACATTTATATTCAAATGCATTTATGCGCTGTTCCGCTTGTTTAGTAAGTGTCTGCATTGATTATATATGGTTAATTAGTTAGTTAGTTATTCCTCTTGTGCCAAAGATGGCGCATAGGGCAGAGGTCATAGCTTTCCACGTCTGTCGGTTCTTTGCCACTTGATGTAGGTCTTGAGTGCGACTGAGACCTATGGTTGAGCTCTCCCTTGTGATGGTTCTACGGAGAGTTTCTTTTGGTCTTCCCTGTTTTCTTTTACCCTCTGGTGACCATATGAAGGCTTGGTGGGGAAGTCTCTGTATGTCCATTCTGAGTACGTGACCGATGTAATTCCAGCGACGCTTTCTAATAAAACCAGACACATATTTTTGTTTTGTTTCCTGTCTTATAGATGTATTGGACCTAAAGTCCGACCAGTGAACATTCAATAGCTTTCGGAGGCATCTATTCTCGAAAGCGACTAGTTTCTTATCGATTGATACTGATGATTTCCAACTCTCACAACCATAAGTTAGCACTGGGATCACACAGGAATTGAAGACCTTAAGTTTCGTGTTGTTGCTGAGTGATCTTGACTTCCAAATGTTTGACAGTTTGTTAAAGGAACTTGATGCTAACGCGATTCGAGTCGTTATTTCTGATGTTGTATCTCCCGCAGAGGTTATCTTGCTCCCTAAGTATGTGAAGCTGGTGATTTTTTCAAGAACAATATCCTTTAGTTTGATGTCTTTCGACTCGTTGGTAAGATCGATGATTTTCGTTTTGGCTGCGTTGACCTGAAGGCCGATTTGGCTTGAAATATTCTGGAGGCGGTCCATTTTTTCCTGAGCTTCTAGATGTGTTGTGCTCAGGAGTGCTAGGTCGTCAGCAAAGTCAAGATCTTCGAGAACTTTGTCGACCCATTTGATGCCTAGATGTGTGTCCTGTGTGCATTTGCGCATGACCCAATCGAGTGCTATTCCGAAAAGCATCGGTGACAAGACACATCCTTGTTTCACGCCTGTTTCTACTGGGAACCAATCAGAGTTACCAGATTCCGTTCTAACAAGGCAGCGGGAATCGGTGTAGAAGGCCTTTATAATATTGACATATTTATCTTGGAAACCATAGATTGTGAGTAGCTTCCAGAGTGTAGGGCGGTGTATGCTGTCAAAGGCCTTCTGAAAATCAACAAAGTTGATGATGAGTTGGGATTGAAACTCTACTGACTCTTCTACGATGGTTCTGAGTGTGAATATATGGTCGATGCATGACCGGTTCGGTCTGAATCCTGCTTGTTCTTCTCGGAGTCTTGCATCTATTGGCTTTTTCAGTCTCTGCATTAGCATATGGTTAATACTGTATTTATTATATACAGTTATTGCTGTATTTATTATACACAGTTATTGCTGTTTTTATTAAAGACAATTCTGCATTTATATATACAGCTAATACTTTATTTATTATAACAGTTATTACTGTATTTTTTTTATATCATCATCATCATCATGTGCCCTGCCAACTGGCGTATGCACTTATGCATCTCCACAGATCACGATTCCTGGTTGACTGGAACAGCTTTCTTGATGATATCCCTCCATGCCATCATTTTAGCCCATCCAGCATCGTCTCTCTTGGTCTGCCTCTATCCCCTTTTTCCACTGATATTTCCAGCTGTCATGATGTTCTCCAATGACTCTCCTCTCATTAGCTGTTCCTCTCACTTTAAAAAAAAAAAAACTATCTTGCCTGTGAATGCAACAAAATGAAATGGGTCATTAACCCATGGGAATTCCCAGAATTCTTTTTTAAATACAACTATTTTACACAGGTCACTTCCCATGAGAGATGAGGTTGTTTTCCACGATGCTACTACAATTCCACGGCTGCCTAAAGCAAATGTGCCAGTGCCTCATGGGTAAGAGTAGCTTATGTGTGTATAATATAAAACAGATAATCTGTGTGTCTGTTTGTCATTAGAACTCCTTCCTAAACGGTAAGCAGTAGTGACATGAAATGTGCACATGTCATCCTGTCTGCCATTTCCAGGTCAACAAGTCTTCTACATCCTGCTGTAAACTACTAATGTCACAACCATTAACATTCACTGGAGTTATTTCCTTGAAGTGTGGTGCAGTGATTTCAGTTGAATGTGTCAGGGAATGTTAAAGTCAGGCACTAGCAGGCTCTGTGCTATTGGTATTACTGATCCTCTTGCCACATGTTTTCATAGTACACTATGGATAATAGGCTATACTGACCTAAACTGAGCTGGCAGGGGATCTTGGAGTTGGTAGCCCCCTCAGTTGCAGTGCCCAGAATACCTTCTAAGGTTCAAATGTCCTACTGTATGACAGCAAAGGTTCAGGTGTTCTGTAGTCAAAGATCTGACTTATGACACAAAAGATTCAAATGTCCACTACCACTGGCCACACTCATCGGAGTGTAATGACCAAACATGGAAGCCATGCCTGGAGTATGCTTCCTATAAAAGCGGAAAAAAGTGCCCTGTGGCACCCATGTGAAAGGTGCCACTGTCATAGAGAGAAGATGTGCAGGGAAATGAGTCACCACACTAACGGGGCTATACTATACATGTCTCCAGAAAGGCTTACCCAGATAATAAATGGCTGAAGTCAGATGTGTCAGCCAAAATGCACAATTACCGTAGCTATGCATTTGACCAAAATGTATCTCCATATTTTCTATATATCTTTTTTGAATCTATTGTCCTTCTCTTTTTAATAATATTTTGTTGTGTGGTTTATGGGTGGGTGATCTTGAAATATACTCAAAGGGGTGCGCGGGGGTCTTGCAAAATACTGGGGGGGGGGGGGGGGGGGGGGGAAGGCATCGAGCTAAAAAAGGTTGGAGAACACTGTGTTAGATTAGACCTTCACATATTCTAGATTATGATATATGATGTAGGATGGCCAGTTCCCTTCCCTGACAACTTTCATCAGTTCCTGGAACATTGCACATTGATTGGTACATATTTTAATGAGGTTGGGTTGACACAAAAACTTTACTTGTAGAGCTTATGTATTATTAAGGAAACGTTTAATGTCAGCAATGCATTGGACATATGATGCTAGTCCCATATTTTTACAGACAAATTGTCATTAATCATTTCATGTTGTGAACATCATGCTGGCAACCTTTACTTCCCAGGAAAATTCCTGCCACCCATTTCAGGCTGGGTCAACCCGGGAGCCAAGATAAATGTTTCAAAATCTGTCGTATTTTTATTTGAGCCCAAGACGTTTGGATAGGTGGCAAGTTACTGTGCTTCCACAGCTGCCATGGGATTTTTTACTCATTAGAAAATAATGCACACAGACAAATTACTGGTGTTGTGTACATGTAGGAAAGGCTAAATACATGCACAGACTTCATCAGTGAATGAATTTACATACTTATTTTATTTTCCTCCCTGATTTCTCTTCTTTCCCAGAGGCTTAAAAACTTTGTATACAGACTCCTATCAGGCTCCATCCCATGTCAACATGAAAGAGAACTACTACTGCCCTGTGGACACCCCGTTCAGACTGCCGGACCCTGGGAGCAAATCTGTCTACACCGCCCCCAAAATGTACAACACCGAGTATCAAAACATCGGCAGCAGAAAGCCAGTCACTGTGTCAAAGTAGGTCAGTACACAAAACTCACAAGCGGTTTTGCTGCTTCAGCTCTTTCAGTCACAACCAAATAGTCAGCTGTAGTCAGCTACTGCCCATGTGTCCCAAACAACGCATGATGTAAACTGATTTTTATGATAAACATTCGACCTGTTGTGTTATAATTTAACATAGTATGTTTTACATTTCGTTGTATGCTAACCCCCTCCCCCATGAAAGTAATGCATGTGGGCTTTATTCCTTGTGGCTAAGCACTCATTATGTATCTTCATGAGATCTTATGGGACTAAAACAGTTGCAAGTGGTTAACTACTGCTATTATTGCAGCATAAAGCAGACTTTGACTAAGAAGCCAAATTGAGGGGAAGGAAAAGATGTGCACAAACACAACCAAACATTTCAATTTAGGTACATATCAGTGTACAAAACACGTTCATACACGATGACAAATGTATTTGTAGGGTGAAAGCAGTTTTGAAAAAAGTGATAGGACGTGTATCCACAAACACCATATTTTTTAAATTTAAAACTGTGTATTTATTCCCATTTATGTGTCATTTCACTGTATATAGTCATCATAGTCAATGTGTTATTCTGTCATTGTGTGTTTCACTGTACATGTGTGTTCATTGCAAGTCTATGTGATCATCTGTCACCACATATTCATGAAACTTTAATTGTCTGAGCCCGTTCACGTGTTTGGCTGTCACCATATGTATTCATATTGTTGTTTGTTGATAAAGGCTTAGGCTGAACCCTTTGGTGCACATATTCTCCTTTCCCTCCGTTGAGCATCTAAGTCACACAGTTTATTCTGTGTTCGTTTCATCCTGACAGAATTCACCCCTTTTTCCTTCATTAATTGTGTTAATTCTTGCAGTTTGTTATGTCACAGTCAATCTAAAACTGTTATTCCCTCATTAGTGTGTTCTCAGGTCATTCAGTCAGTAGCGTGTCCTTTACACAACCCTGCTCCTATAACAACCCTCCAGAAAACTTTTTGATCACAAGCAAGATGTCCCGTGTCCAATACACCCATCTGGAGATCATCCACCACATCCTACACCCATCATCTCTTTGACCTTCTTCTTTCTCTCTTCCCAGGCATATACCGCTCGATTATTGTGCTCTCTAAACTTTCATGATGTTTAAAGTGACCAAAATATTTTAGTTTTTGTTTTGTTTCATCGTCTTTTATATCGGATAGTAAAGGATTTCCCTTTACCCTCCATGTTTACATAACGGGAAAGTAAAATAGAGTGAAATGCACTGCAGATGTAAAATTACAATGACAAAAAACAAAATGACCAAAATGGAAAGTATGGCTAGAGAGTCTCCAAAGAATACAACCAACAGTGATAAAATAAACATTACAGCCAGGAAGCCCTACTTAGCACACAACAACAAATGCACAACAAACAGCAAAAGTAAGTTTAAAGAAAGAAACTATGTAGATTTATTGCTATCCATTTGTGAACAGGTTTTTTTTTTTAAACTTTAGAATTTAGACACAATGATGGCCTAATTCAGTCTGCTGTTTTCAATTTCAATTTTCAAGTTGCAGGTAACATGACAACAAAACTGAACCCCAAATCCCCCCCCCCCCCCCCCCCCCCAAAAAAAAAAAACTAGTGTAAAATGTCAGAACCAACTGACAACACCACCATTTGCTGTTTATGCTGAGTATAAGAAGAGCTTGCAGCTTCTTTCAGCATCTGGTTTTTAAGAAGAGGCATCGGATGAGAGCCTTGATATGTGCAACTGTCAACCAATATATGCTTAGCCCAATTGAGTTGTCATTCTTTGTATTTTTCAGCCACTTTTCAAAGTCTTCTAGGATCATTGAAAAAAAAAAAAAAGTGCAGAATTCATAATTGTCATTTTTCCACTGCATTTGCCACTACAAATTTCCTAAGGTTTGGTCCAAATTAATTTACTCCCAAGAACTGTTTACTGAAGTAAGTAAAGCAAAGAACCTTTCTCACACCAATGATGTATATAATAAACAAAATACATATCTTGATCAGCGCTGGGAATCGAATCTACAAATGGTGTGTGTACCTCGCTATGGAAACAAGTGTACTAAGATACATGACCAAATAGGCACCCCCAAAAAATGTCTTCATTGGCCTTGTCTATTGTACAGCCTGAAATCCACGACTACAGAATTTATCTCAAACCATTGAAAAGGCACACCATAGGTTACAGAAATTTATATAAACCAAGCATAGGTGGAGTAACAAACACAGCAACAATTTACAAACACAGTGCACCGTAATGCTTTGTCTAGAATATAATGGTGCACCTGGCATATGGTACTAGACACATTTTTTATAGACTAATCGGCACTGATGGACGATGGGATCAATATAACATTGATTGCCTTTCCTTCCCATGATATTTCCTGGTACCCGTTTTAGGCTGAGCTGACCTGTGAGCCGTGGAAAATTGTGAAAATCTGCCTAACTGCAGATCCAAACCCAAAATCTACGAGGTGGTAGGCAGTTGTGGCTCTCAGAGTGGTCAGAAATAAATGCAAACATGTGAATTAAATGGCCGAATATTATCGGCTATTTCTACGAGAGAGACCCTGATATCATCATTACGAGGTGAGGCCCCCGTCCCTTGAATGGTGCAACTCTCGTACTATTGTCTTTCTTCTTTTTGGCTTTCGGTTTCGTAGGCTCAGGTCAGACCTTCAGGTAGGTTGCCTGTATGAACTTGCAGGTCCTCCATAGCACACTTTGCTCTTAAAGCCATGCTTCTCTTCGCAGAATGTGCTCAGGTGTTTGTGGCCTTGCATGGCATGCACAAGGTACCACCATGCAAATGAGGATCACCCGTGAAGAGGTCCTGGAAACTCCGTTCAACTATATTTGGGGCCCCTGGCAAAAGCCAGAGTGGAGCTTCAAAATTACTAAAAAATTGCATCCCATGGGATGATCTCTATCTATCTTCTCTTAACCCACCAGGACATCACACAAGTGATAAACACCCAGTGACACAAAGTGCCATCATGTGGATGAGGATCACCCGTGGAGAGGTCCCAGAAATCGCGTTCAGCCATTAGACCATATTTATGGCCGGGCTATATTGCGGCCCCTGGCAAGAACCAGAGTAGGGCTTCAAATAACGAAAAATTGCATCCCATAAAGGGATGACAAGAATATAATGGGGATGACATATTATATGCGCTATGGAGATAGACTTAGTCAAATGTACTGTAAATCCCAAACACTGAAATGTTAACTCCTCCCTAACTGTGGGTTACAGTTTCATTTTTTATTGTGACTGCAATGTTTAATTTAACAGTCACATTGGCCGCCCAGGTTATTGTGCTTTTTTTAAATTATTGATTTCATGGACCGATTAAAGTTGTTCCATGAACTACCAAATGGGGAAGACTGGCTTAGTGTATGGCGGTCTATGTGAGGTAATTCAGTTACAATAAAGTAACTGTACAATAACATCTGCTGCAGCACGATCCGCACTTCTGCTTAATCATTAAAATTTTCTATAATCTTTGAAACTTTTATATGCCTCATATTTCATTGTTTTGAGAATAAACTTCATAGTTTACGAAAAAATATAGCTGGCTAGTGTTTTTTACCGCTTACTGTACGTGAAATTTCTTTTACGTCTTCTTTATTTTGTCATATTTCATGTTTAAAATGCACAGATTTGTTATCAATCAAGCGTGGTTACCCTTCAGACTCCTGAAAATACAAACAGCAACCACAAAAGTTGGTGCTCTTCAATGTACTGGAGCGCCCCCACTATGATCATCTCTGTGTTTTACATGCTAGGAGTTCTGACCATTCACAGATTAGCAAGTATATTGAAATATGACCTGGGCTTCCAGGTCCAATTAACCTAAAATGAGCTTCAGAAAATGTTATGGAAAGTAAAAATGGCTGGCATGCTCTGACTACATCATCCATTAGGTAAATAACTGGTCTAAAAATATATGAGTAGCCTAGTCAACCCATTAAAAATGTTTTGGAATGCACAAGCAGCTGGCATGACAATAACCACACACCTCATAAAGTGTGCTGACAAGTCTATAAAAATATATGTCTATTAAAAACAAGGTGGACACAGATAATTGTTTACAATTTTCCTAACAGAAAAAAAAAAGGCAAGGATAAAAACTAGTCATCTTATCATATTACACTGTGACCCAGATTGAGTAAAAGCCTAACAGTTCACACTTCAACAGCGTTATTGGTCACAGGACTAGAAGTTAGTTCATTAGGTCGGTAACACACACAGCACAGAAAGAAATAGTAGGGTTACACCTTCTGTAATCTTTGATGTCCAGGTCAAAGCCTAGCTTGAATCTCTATGCTCACATTAACAAGTGCTGAACACTGAATCTCTGTGCTCACACCCAGATACTGAACCTCTGTGTTCACACCCAGATACTGAACACTGAATCTCTGTGCTCACACTGAGATACTGAACACTGAATCTCTGCACTCACACCCAGATACTGAACCTCTGTGCTCACACCGAGATACTGAACACTGAATCTCTGTGCACACACTGAGATACTGAACACTGAATCTCTGTGCACACACTGAGATACTGAACACTGAATCTCTGTGCTCACACTGAGATACTGAACACTGAATCTCTGTGCACACACTGAGATACTGAACACTGAATCTCTGTGCTCACACTGAGATACTGAACACTGAATCTCTGTGCACACACCCAGATACTGAACACTGAATCTCTGTGCTCACACTGAGATACTGAACACTGAATCTCTGTGCACACACTGAGATACTGAACACTGAATCTCTGTGCTCACACTGAGATACTGAACACTGAATCTCTGTGCACACACCGAGATACTGAACACTGAATCTCTGTGCTCACACTGAGATACTGAACACTGAATCTCTGTGCACACACCGAGATACTGAACCTCTGTGCTCACACCGAGATACTGAACACTGAACCTCTGTGCTCACACTGAGATACTGAACACTAAATCTCTGTGCTCA